AAATAAATAGATTTAACTCAAGAAAAAAAATATGAGTTAGAAATGAAGTTTTAATATTTAACTTAGAAAGAAAATAGATGTTAGTGACTAAAATGAATATTTTAAACTAAGTTTAGGCATTAGAAAGATGATAATCTAAAGTTTTTCTAGAATAGTGTAGGAAGAAGAACAAGGCGAGAGAAATGTTAAAAGTTAAGAGATTACCTTATCTATTTTTTGGCTAAAAATATTAAAGATTAAAAGGTAATTTTTATATTTAAGAGATTAGCCTCAAAGACTCCTTAATTGTTATGTAAATATTCTGTTTTGAACTTAATACCAGACTTCAAAAGAATAATGATAATTATTTTATAAATATTAAAAATAATTAGATCAATAAAATAAAATTTAAGGATGAAATTAGGAAAATATGAAATTTGTGGACTAATTTAAAAACTTTTCAAAAGACCAGGTGGGGGCCATAGCCCTCCCTGGATCTTCATGGCTCCGCCCATGGTCATCATGCAGGTTTGGTCCTTCTAGCTAAAGTGAGGGGTGGGCAAGTAGTTTCTGTTTGTCTCGGTGGGGATTTTCAAGTGGCAAAACCTTACTTAAGCTCCTAAACTTATCTCAGATTCTCAATTAAACCCTAAAACTTTTATTAAAGCAAATAAACTCCTAAATTTAATAATCTAGGCAATTTAACCCTCTTTCTTTATGGTGGATTTAATATCTATTTGTACCTCACTTATATGGATAATGTATTGATATGTCATTACCTACATGAAAGGCATTAACCTTATTTATGCAATTAAAGCACAAACAAACATTAAATTTATCATGAGAAAAAGAATTAAATTACCTAAATTACTAAGTTCAAGAGCTCACTTATTTTAATAAAAATCTAGAGATTTAATCAAGAATCTATAATAAGTTTAGAGGGGCTTAATGCAGGGTTTTGCCTTTTCAAGTATTGCGAGCTTTTCAAGGGGGTTTCATTTTCTTTTGGATGCAACAATTCTACAGGCTACAGTGCTAGTGACTCAAGAATACTGCAGATGATCACATGGCATGCTCCATTAGTACCCTGCATAAGGTTGTAATGAGGATTTTATATGAACAAATAATAATAATAATAATAATCTACTACAAAATCTGCTTTTTGTAAAAGATTTTTCAAACTCAAAGATAACACACGATTAGGATACAAGTCTCTTGAGCTCTCTCAAGCTCTCGAAGCATGGTGTTTTCTCATTTTTTCTTCTTTTCCCCTTAGGGTCTATTTTGTTCAAGGAAAACTGTTTTTAAAAAATAATTTCTGTATTTTTTAATTAGTGTTTAATAACCCTTTAAAAAATAAGTCAATGAAAATTAAATCAATGAAAAATATAATAAACAATTTCCAGAAAATTACTTTCGAATTGCATTTAGGGAAACTTTGTTTTCCAACTAGAAAAACATGCTGATCCTAGGATAACGACTGGCAAAACGCACAAATTTCTGACTTTCAGACACCATTCCGAACAGCGAAAGATCAAAGCTTCAGTATCTTGCCTTGATCCCGCTGCTCTGTTTTCTAGCATCAACAGAAAATTAGGTGAAGTTTTATTGGAAAACATCAGATTATCAACTTCATTTTGTTTTGGCCATTATTAAATACAAATTTTCCGAAAACAATGAATACAAGTTAATGACTTGAAAAAAAAAATTAGGTGATTTGTTCTCTTTTTATGGATTAACAATTTTCATGCTTTTAATACTTTTCTAGTTTCATTCTTTCTTTTTTCGTTTCTGGGTGGAACGATGGATAAATTGTTAATACTTTTTGGTACAAAGATATCAAGATTTTTGTCTTGTTAGTATTATGAAAAATGGGTTCCTTTTAGAATTGTTTTTATGTATAGCCTTTTTTACATATGATAGTTTTTTTTTAATAGTATGATAAAAAATTTGAAATTGATATATGTGTTTTATTATTTTTTTTGTAATATTATAGTTACAATACTAAATAGAATTATAAATTTATTATTTTATATAGTATTAAATGAGTATGATGTGATATTAAATAAATAGATACAAATAATATATATATATATATATAAACTAATTATATAATGACACATAGTATTATAAACTTATAGTATAATGTTTAATCTTTAATTAATTAATATTTTGAAAATTTTAAAGATTTTCCTTATCTTACCAAATAATTAAAAATATTTTATTTAGAAGTTTTTCAAAGTGTTTCATGCATTAAAAAATAATTTTTAGAAAAAAAAATATTTTTCATAGAAAATATTTTTCAAAATGAAGTTATTTTCTGTGAATTAAACAGATCGACTCTTAATCTTTCTTCTTTCTCCTTTTCTTTGCTTCTCTCCTCTTTCTAATCCTGTTAGTTTTGTTAGCAACCTTTCTTTTTCTTTGTTTTCGCCTTCCTTCTGTTTTCTAATTTTCTTGCCTTTTTTTGCTTTAATCTTTTTACAGAG